CTCAGGGCCCGCTCGCTCACGGATGGCCCAGGGACAGCCCCTCCTCAGCGCCTCAGGGACACTATTTTACACCCAGCTGCGTGTTATATAATAATCACCTTTAAACTAAAATAAAGCCAAACATCAGTCTCTATTTGAAAATTTAAAACAGTCACAACACCGAGGGGGCCGAGGGCCCAGCCTCAGGGCCCGCTCGCTCACGGATGGCCCAGGGACAGCCCCTCCTCAGCGCCTCAGGGACACTATTTTACACCCAGCTGCGTGTTATTTAATAATCACCTTTAAACTAAAATAAAGCCAAACATCAGTCTCTATTTGAAAATTTAAAACAGTCACAACACCGAGGGGGCCGGGGAGGGCCCAGGCTTTACGGCAATGTGGCGCTTTTCTTCATCACGATGGAGCCTGATGCTTGGCTTCAATTTTAATCCCCAAGTTTGTATCCAAGGAACAAAGAAGCTGGCCATTTAAATGCACACAGTGGTTCTGAACAGGAAAGGGGAGAGCAAAATGAAATTTCTTTAAAAAAGGAACTGTCCCACTGGCGTGATTCAGTGGTCGAGCCTCGACCTATGAACCAGGAGGTCACGGTTCCATTCCCGGTCAGGGCACAAGCCTGGGGTTGTGGGCTCGATCCCCAGTGTGGGGCGTGCAGGAGGCAGCCGATCAATGAGTCACTCTCGTCATTGATGTCTCTCTCTTTCCCTCTCCCTTCCTCTCTGAAATCAGTAAAAATATATTTTAAAAACAAAAAATTAATGAAGGCAATCTAACCTATCATCTTTTTAATAAATGAAAAGTGCCTTCTCTTGAAAAAAATAAGTATTTGTTGAGAAGACAGTCTCTGTAATATGCATTTATAAAAATACATTAAAATAATTTGTATCAATATAGATTTGCTCAAATATAAACCATTGAAAACATCCAGAATTTCAAGTGTCCTAGTCCCAAATGCTGCTGTACCCACTGAAAGGCGTCACTGTGCGCTCAGATGGCCGTTTCCAAGCCCTCAGACCACTGCTTGGGGCCAGACGACCATATCAACCGGCTCTAGGTTTTCTCCTCTTGGAAGCACCACCCCGAAATGTAGCTCATCAAAACAAATCTTAAATGAATGAACATTAAAAAAATAGATTTTCTTCTGAAGCATATGGGGCAGAAAAGCAAAAATAAATACATAAATAAAACCTAAAAAACTGCCAAGCTAGTGTGGCTCAGTGGTTGAGCGTCAACCTATGAACCAGGAGGTCAGGGTTTGATTCCTGGTCAGGGCACATGCCCGGGTTGTTGTCTCCATCTCCAGTAGGGGGTGTGCAGGGGCAGCCAATCAATGGTTCTCTCTCATCATTGATGTTTCTCTCTCTCCTTCTCCCTTCCTCTCTGAAATCAATAAAAATATATTAAAAAACTAAAAAATTCAGGTTCTTCCGCACAAGAAGCCCAAACTGCCAGAACAGGTCGGTGACCTACAAGGCTAGCATGCCGCGGCTCCGGTGGGTGCGAGGGCTGGGCGCAGGCCCCAGCACTGCTTCTCTCTGCGCTGGGTGGTTTGGGGACCCGCATCCTGGTGTGAAAGGCGCTCCATGACGACACAGCTGTGTGATTAGAAATCCCGGAGTTTTACTGTGGGAACCCATGGCTCTTTTCCCGGAAAGCTCTCCCAGAGTGCGGCCTGGCCTACAGCGGGCGTTTGGCTGCTTCACCACAGTGGGGGGTGGGGGGGGGGGCGGCGGCGAGACAGCATCACTTTCGCAGGTGCGGCCACAGAATCAGGAGCTCTCGAGGGCTCAGTGCTGGCTGCATAGCGAGTGATGCTGTCGTGTCGGTGGTGGAGGTGAGGTGACAATGGCGCGCTAACAGAGGGACAGACACGGCGGGCCTCCAACAAGCGGGCGCAGCGGGGAGCAGGGTGTCACAGAGGTGAGCATGTAGGAGGAGAATCACAGTGCTTCTCCGCCAATGAGGTCACAGTTAGATGTCTCTATCATTTAACTGGCCAAGCTGCTTTCTAAATGCATGTTAATGATGACTCAGAATATAAAACATAATGATTACAGTAGTTAGTAATGGCCACTAGCTCGCATGTCTTTAGTCAGCTTTCAAACAAAGTTAGGTTTACTTAAAATCTTACTTTTTTCTGATGTCACATCGATCTGAAAAAAAACACACACATAAATTGAATGGTTATAACAGTGTTTTCTCTCTCCCGTCTCCCTCCCCGGCCCCCAGCTCTGAGCTCCGAGTCACGATCACATGCGTGGGGACCCTGTGCATGTGGGGACCCCGTGCACTGGGCACAGAGCCTTGGCTGCACTTCCTCATGACAGTTTCCTTGATTCTTATTCAAACTTTGAAAAAACGAATCTCTTCTAGATACCGTGGATGGGGAGCCCTTTCTAACACGTTTTTCCAGGGAAGACGGGCCCCAGGGTACGCCTGTGTTAGAAATGCACCGTTATCAGGAAAAGGCCAGGGAGAGAGGGAAGCAGGCAATCAACGTGCCCACTTTGTGGAGCACAAAGCGCATGCCAGGTGGCACGTTCCACGGACATGGTGCCCCTGTCACTCATCACAAGCCCAAGGACAATTCCTGGACAGAATGCACTGATCGCTGAACAGGTCCTGAGACTAGTCAATAGGAACCGTCCAGCGTGGGAAAGGCTCATTGGAGGGTGGCTAGGTGGCTCCCAACTGCACTGCTCGGCTGGAGGGCGCGGGCCTCCTCCTCCCAGCTCTGGGGCCGTGTCACCAGGCACGGGAAGGACGTGGATGGGAGACGGAGTGACTGGACAGTCGAGGGAGAAGACCTCAGTCTGGCCTTAGGCTCCTGTGTCTGGTGAGTCTGTAACCCCCTCCCGCCCTGCCTGCAGCCAGAGTGTCCATGAAAAAGCGGAGTTAGGGCTTCTCTGGACCGATAAGGCCTTACATGTTCAGCAGGTGGGTACAAGGGCATGTATTACATTTTTCTATTTTTGCATTTCGAATCCATCAGAATAAATTGAAAATAAAATTAGTATATTTGAAAACATTAACGTGCAACTACTAACAACCGCACTTGTCTTAGAGACAGAACCCTTATGTTCCTCGGTAAGTATAAGGCTTCCCCAATGACCTCTCTCATTTCTACGGTAACGCTAGGCGTTTTCAGGGGCCCCCCCCCCCCCCCCCCCCAGCTTGGCCTGCAGGAGCAGGTGTGACTGAAATGGCTACTCCTGCACGGTCTCCGAGCCACGCTGCCTCCCCTGCGGTGGGAGGCGCAGCCCTGCTTTGCTGGGGCACCAGGAGGAGCTGCCCGCAGGCTCACGCGCACACCCTGCCCCCGGCACTGCCATCACCTGACGGGTGAACGACATGCTCCCTAGTTCTGGTCTCAGTGGTTCTCAGACTTTCTGGCCTGAAGACCCTTTATCTCTTACAAACGACCCAGGAGTCTGAGGAGCTGTGGTCTGTGTCTGACTCAGATAAGGAACATGTGTTACAAAAATGAAGCTGAGGAAATGCTGGGACCCAAGGACACGTCCCGGAGCGTCCGTGCGGCGGCATCAGGTGAGGGGACCTGCGGTGAGAGGCGAGGAAGGGCCCCGGGCTGTACGACCAGGAGATGGGTCTCTGCCTGTGAGAGCCGCCGAGATGACGGGGTGGCCTCAGCGGTGGGTAGAGAAGTAGGCACATGGCAAAGACGGGGCAACCTTCTCCAGGGAAGCGCGCCTGTCCTCACTGGCTCAGAGCGGTGGGCCACGGCCCGAGAACACAGGGCCCCGGTGCTCTGATGGGTCAGCGACAGGGTCGCACAATTACCTCTTCCTCCTGCTCCGGATCCGACTCGGACTCCTTCGCCAGGCACCGCACGGGATGGAAAAGAGCAGAGAGTTTAGGAGGAAAGGTTAAGAACTGCCCGGCATTCAGTCAGGGCACTCTGACATTTTCTAACCGTTCACTGGAGAGGCGCACAAGCTAAAAAGGGTTGATTTAAACTCACAAGTCTGGAGACTCTAGACACAAAGGAACCTAAATTATGAAGATACTCATTTCAGACGCTAGGTCGCCGGCAGCCTCAAAGTTGGACCTTTAATGGGTTGGAGGGCACGGTGCTGGCTGGGCAGGCTGAGAGCCACAAAGCAGCGTGTGGCGAGTATCGTCCTGACCCACGGGCAGCATGTCGGAGTTCCAGGGCTATAAACACCGGTAGATTCTGATGCCCAGCTGTCTGGCTCTTTATACTTTTGTTTTGCGTTACGACTGAACAGGAAGCCGCCCTGGACCGTCACAGCATCAACACCGCGTCTGCCCCGGGCAACGTGACAACAGGTGAGCGAGCCCTGGCCGTGGCTCAGGTGGTGGGGCGGCGTCCCGTGCACCAAAAGGTTGTAGGTTCCGTTCCGGTCGGGGCACACGCCCAGGTCTGCGGGCTCAATCCCCAGTCGGGGGCATGCAGGAGGCAGCCAATAGATATTTCTTTCTCTCCTTGCCTCTCTCTCTAAAAAATCAATGAAAATATTAAAATAAATAAAGCAAATGCTTTCTTCACGGCACACTGAAGGCTCACAGAACTCAGAGCCACAGCTCATTATCTTCACAGGAAAATAAGATTGATTTATTTTTATCAAATAAGAAGTTGCAATGCTGCACACAATGCCATGAGCTTTTCTACGTGACTGATGTCTGTTTACAGGAATCATTCGTTAAGGAAACCAGACGGCGGGTAAAAAGCAGTATAGGAAGTGCTTGTTCTGTGGAGTCCAAAGTAGGACTTTAAACATATTTCCCTCCACCAGGGCTCACCCCACTGCACCCTGTCCCCACCTCTCGGACACACTGCCTGACAAGAGGCCGCAGCCTACTGGGCATGGCCGGGTGGGCTTCCCATGAGGAAGGGCTACTGGTTAAAATATTTTTAAATAAAAAAGTTATCCCCAACATATAATTCATTCAGCTGTCTTCCTTGGCTTGATAGAGTAATCAAGAATATTTCTGTATAAGCAGGAGAAATCACAGACCATCTGCATCAGGAAGAGGCCGCCTGGAGAGTTATACCCAGATGTAGCTGGACCTGGGGCAGGAATGAATGAATGTTTCCTTTGCAAAAATGTTTCAAATCTGCTCCTTGGAACATGGAAATATTTTGTATACTAATCATGTTAAAATAGTTGAAAAATTAATTTGATACTCCCAAGATATTACAGTTATAAAATGAACAGGTAATGCCTGACTGGCGTGGCTCATGGTTGATCTATGAACCAGGAGGTCACAGTTCGATTCCCAGTCAGGGCACATGCCCAGGTCGTGGGCTTGATCTCTAGTGTGGGGTGTGCAAGAGGCAGCCGATTGATGATTCTTTCTCATCATGGATGTTTCTCTCTCTCTCTCTCCCTCTCCCTTCCTCTCTGAAATCAATAAAAAATATATTTAAAAAATATAAATAAACTGAACAGTAATTATTTTAGCAACAAGACGCAATGTCATGAGGTTGCTCTGCATGCGGTATTTAGAACCCACCTATGAGCTGGTGGAGAACCACAGCTAATGGCCCAACAGGTTTGGGTACCAGAGGCCCCAGCATGGTCCCAGGAGGGCACACAACAGCAATAATGAAGATGAAGTCAGTTATTTGGTTTTTAAAAACTAGTCCAAAAAGTTAAATCTTAAATTAAACATTTCTGTCTTCTGTATCCAATATGCGTTCATAGAAATTTTTCATCACAATGAACTGGATATGAAATAAGGTGGAGCTTCTTTTGTTCTGACTTCCATGGAAACTCACGGATTGACAGGGAATCCAAAATGACTGCTCCCCGTGTAGCATGCGATGCCCCTGCTGTGCACGGTCCTGGATTGCAGA